AAAAATATTGAAAATTTGTAAACTCACCGCAGACGTTCAGCCAGCCCTCGACGCGACAGGGATACTCCAGCTTCATGGTGAACTATTTGGGTACCGAGCGCACTGAGTACCGGAAACGTGTCGCACAATTTCACACTGGTCACATAAGAGAACGAATAACAACGGCCCGATGGTCAGGACGTGTTATCACTGTTAAACAATATCCGCGGCACACATTCTTTACCGTGGGTTGTCGCGAGTAAACCGGGAATTACTACGGTTACTTTTATTCGTTTATTATTATTTCTTTTTTTTATTTGGATTTGACCCGCGGGGATCGACGAACACACGAAATCACAGGGATAGATAGAGGAATAATCGGTGCGTGTCGTTGTTACGAACGCGAGCGGACCACACTGTCTGGCGTTGCGCGCGCAAACCGTCGACACGATCCACGCACACCGGCGAACAAATCGGTACTGACTGAACAAACCCTCTCGCGTCCTCGTTGAGCCGATCTTCCTTCTCCCTTTCTCCCGCACGGCCACAACGCCAGCCTCTCTCGCGTTCAGGTGGTGCGCTCATCCCGTGAGATATTCCTTGTACAGTATTGATACGATGATTTGGATTTATCAATTATTCAAAATGATCGTTTTCGTTATTTAAACGCGTACGCGACCCTATTCGGAACAATTTCTTTAGCCGACTGAACATGGCGTTCAGTTTCGCGACATAATGGGACGATTATCGGAATTGATTTTTTAAACGGCGATCGATGTATCGAAGACAAGTTCAACAGGCGCCATGTTGATTGTTAAATTAACCGCCAAAATGCGTTCCTGTAATAACGAAATTTGATTTTGGGGATTACGATTATGATAGTATCCTGGTTATATTGATATTCGTTCTTGCGTGAATGCGATAAGAGTAATTTAATACTACACTGACAATAATCCGATGGTTTCATAATTCGATACTTTACTAACCTTCATTGTTTAAGGAAATATGTACGTTTACCTATATTACTGTATTTTACAAATATACATGTGATAAAATGAAATTTTGAAGATACTTTAGGATCCTGATTTATCTATCCCTATACATGAATTTAAATTAGTATTATAGGCTTTGATAAAATCAATGTAGTTTAATGAAACTGCAAATATTTATATAGTTTGACAAAAATTTAATGCCTATCCCCGACTCGAAGTTTTTTTAGTATTACAGGTTTATCGTTTACCTGAATTCAGCTTTTTATCATTATCAATGAAATCAATACTTCGTTTATTAATGTTGCTTATTCAGGACGCTTTAAAAGGCAAAGTAATTAATTAATTGTACTTACATTAATGGGCAAGAGTCAGCATCATCGATTCGAACGGTAGAACCGTACTAGATTATTGTAGATGACAAGATAATTCTGGAAGTATCTTTGGCTTCATTTCAAAGTGCCACCTGGTAGTCAAACCGTCAGTCAGTTACCAGCAACATGGCGCTCAAGGCACAAGTCGGTCAAAGTAAGTAACGAAAAATTAAGTTATTTTTCCATGATGACGATGAAATTTTGAAATACTTTTACGCTATTATATCAGAGCAACCACTACGATACGTTTTACGTGGAAAATATGTTACCTAAACCACTGTCAAACTCCGTAACCTCCAAAGGGGCGTATGTGCTGTGATGATTTCATCGTTTACGAAGCGGCTGCTTGATACAAATGTCAAATCTGCGTTCTGCTCTTAAAATTTTATATTTTACGTTTCAAATGTCATTACATGAAATAATATATATAGTTAGTTTTCATACTCACTAAGATTTCAGTCTATCGATGACATAAAGTCATTTTATCATTATTCTGTTGAAGTAAATACGTAAATATTGACTGATAGCCTTGTACAATTCTGACCAATAAAGAATTAATACATGCACTTTTCTATGTTTTACGCAGAAAACAGTAGTTCTTAAATAATGCCACGTAATTTGTCTCGATGAATGTATTGGTAAATGACATCATGTATCAACTCAACTTTGACAGCATGTTTAGAATGTAGCAAGTTATTAACGTTCACACGGTATATTCAAGTATAAAATATATAATATATTTGTGTATTTAAGTTGCAATTTCTTCTTTAATTAATAGTCATTATTTTTCGATGAATTAACAAAGTATAGAGTAAAGTACAGTTTAAATCCATCAATTAACCTTCTTGCTCTTTAATAGTTGTCTCATGGTTATAATATTGTTACTTTTAATATTTATAATCAATATGAATGAAGAATCGTTTATTCTATGTACAGTGTAGAGCTGTTAACATAAAAGTACAAACAATTGTCCTGTATCGAGGAATCCTTTTGAGTTTACGTTCAGTATCAGTTGAAATTGGATAATTCAATTAGAGAATTGTGTTTCTAGAAAGATAATTTCTGTGTCACGGTGGTACCTAATCATCGCCGACGTTGAATTACCGAAACCCACCTGCATAATAGATTTAGTTCATGTAACTTTATGCACCTTGTCGCATATCAATCAATTATATTCCTTTAAATGGGGCTCTGTCATCTGTAGATACGAACCTGTAGTGGGTGACGTCATTCCTGTGTAAGAACGATCAATACGCGTTGAGAGCGCGAAAAGATTTCTTATTTAATTTAAAATTACTCAAGTACAATTGTGATTAATTATGAATAAATCCATACAGTTTTTACACAAAAAACGTCAATGTAGGACAACCTATATCGGACTATTGAATTATTCAAATGGTACTATAATATATCTGATATGCGCAACAGGAAACGAGTACAGAAAAAGATTCAACTACCATTTACTGGTAGTAAATTTACATATTAAGTTTCCTTAAACTGTTACATTCAGAAAATTATTAAATATATTCGTTTATTGAACTTTATAAAATCTTTTAATTATATTTTTTGTTACAAGTTAATATGAATTATTAATATATTATAGTTAACGTAGACTTAACGTATATTAGTAAGAAGCGTAGGATGATAAAACAATGCTTAAAAATAATAAAAAGAAATTGTTTTATCATTTATATATGTTAATATTTAAGCGCAGGAATAATAATAACTTTTCTGCAAAATTGTTATTAATAAGTGCAAAGCCTATTTTAATCATTGGATTTTTTCGCAGAGATTATGAATGAAATCATTAAACAAAAAAAGTCCTCGGGGAGCGGGTCCAATTGGCGTATTTTGGTAGTGGACCAACTTGCCATGAGGATGGTATCGGCATGCTGTAAAATGCACGATATCAGTGCCCAAGGAATCACCCTGGTAGAAGACATTAACAAAAAACGGGAACCATTACCTACCATGGAAGCAATCTATCTGATCACACCGTGCAATAACTCTGTTCAAAAACTAATTGAAGACTTCAGCAATCCGACGCGGACCATTTACAAAGTTGCGCACGTTTACTTCACAGAAGGTACTATCGCAGTTTTACGTTACTTGTACATACGTGGATGATTATGAATTTATAAATATAAAAAAGAATTTTATAAAGGTAGTCTACTTTCATTGGACACTATAAATATGACAGTAAAATCTTAAATATGTTAAATAGAATAACGTTGAAGGTATTACATGAAAATAAATGTTCAATACTCTTTTTCAACCATAGGCATTCAAAATAATGAATACTCTATATAAATGAGTATAAGTAACAATATAAATATATGTAGAGTAATAATTAATTTTTATATAAAAATATTAATATGTTAAAACTAATAGTGAATTCAAAAGTATGTTTTAAATGAAGCCGTTCCAACAGACGTTCCATATTGGAGAGTCGCTACTTTGCAATACAATTCAATAATAAGAAGGTCTCGCTATAATGTTTTAATAGCACACCCGGTTCTCTTCGCGTACACATAAGAATTCTCATTCCCAGTTCTGTTTATTTTCTAATTCCAACAAATACACGCTTACGCATAGGATTATTTTACACAAGAACGGACAGATTGGTACATTAAACGTACGTAATCCAAATAAGGTTCTAAGTATATCTCTTTACAGCATGTCCCGATGAGTTGTTCAAAGAATTGTGTCACTCGCTGGTAGCTAAACGCATAAAGACACTAAAAGAGATCAACATCGCTTTCATACCGTATGAAGAGCAGGTAAAGCAAAGAGAACTAACGAGAAAACAAAATGTATCGTCATTTTACGTTCTTCGTGGTGGCGGACGCACACACACATACACACACGAACACGCATTAACTCACACTCGATACACCCCTTACACACACTGTCTCCCACGTTGGTGGTATTTCTGGACTCGCGAACTTAAATTCTCGATTTTTTCCTCAACGATCACGATAATGTTGACGCAATCATTTTAACTCTTTTCCTACCTCCCAAATATTTCCCCATTCTGTACAATATTCACAAGTGAGCACGTACTAACGACGGAATGCATTCATGCTTGTACGCGAACAGTGTGTCCGGAGGAGCTGTTCAATGAACTCTGCAAGTCTCTCGCCGCTAAAAAGATCAAAACCCTCAAAGAGATCAACATCGCCTTCCTGCCTTACGAGTCGCAGGTGACGATCAAGAAAAGATGAAACTGTAGTTGCTAGATACGAGCATAAATCGCAACGATTACTTTCAATTTTCTCAGTTTCGAATAGCGAACCAGTTCTACCTTTTTTCAGCTTTTTTTTATTTTAAGAAGTAGAACATAGGCGAAAGACTTCTCTGAATACCTTACTATGTATATACGAAGTTGCTTGATAGAAAAATACGCAGCTACCCGTTATTAACATTTTTTGTGGCATGCGAATCACCGGTGTACTAAAAGAACTTTTTTTTTATTCTTCTTGTAATACTATTTCTATTTTCCTATAATGAAATATTGCAATTCGATAATATAATAAGTTTCTATAGTGATGTCAAAAACGCGAAAGCTCAAATGGTGCAGAATTTGTTAAATCAGTTGTTACTAGTGCTACGTAAAAATTCAAAATTACTAATTGAATGATCTGATAACTTCCTATGTTTCCTTTTGTACGAAAATTTTTGTTTCTTGCATGCAGTTCTGTAGACCCTTATAATTTCATTAGATACCTTTCATTTTTCAATGTACATATGTATTTCACTATTGATCGCATCGCTTAATATATGACATTAAAGTTGAATCTGGGATACTGTTTTCCACGATGATATTGAAATAAATATGTATATAGGTCTTCTCCTTGGACTCGCGCGAAACGTTCGCTTGCTTTTACAACGCTTCCTTCGCCAACCTGAGAACTGCCAATATGGAGAGAATAGCTGAACAGATCGCAACGCTTTGCGCGACTCTTGGAGAATATCCGTCTGTCAGATACCGAAGGTACAAATATTATCGCGTAAAACTTCTCTTGCAACTTAATTAACATATTGTCCCGTCCCTTCAAATTTCAGTGACTTCGACCGAAACGTTGAACTGGCGCACATGGTTCAACAAAAATTGGACGCTTACAAAGCAGATGAACCAACAATGGGAGAAGGACCAGAGAAAGCTCGTTCCCAATTACTTATATTGGACAGAGGATTTGACTGCGTCTCACCCTTGTTACACGAGTTAACGCTGCAAGCTATGGCGTATGATTTACTCGATATTGAAAATGATGTTTACAAGTAATCACTCTAGCTTATATGGTAGTCTTTAATTTAAAATAGTATTTTAATATCTGTTAATTTTGATAAGGTTCGAAGCGTCGGCTGGAGTGCAAAAAGAAGTATTATTGGATGAAAATGATGATTTATGGGTAGAACTTAGACACCAGCATATTGCTGTAGTTTCACAGTAAGTCAATTCAATAGTACAATTTGATTATTGGATTTGGAAAAGTATGACCATATTCAAACGTACGAATTTTTTTTAGAAATGTTACCAAAAACTTGAAGAAATTCACAGAATCAAAAAGAATGCCACAAGGAGACAAACAGAGCATGAGAGACCTTTCACAGATGATCAAGAAAATGCCTCAATATCAAAAAGAATTAAGCAAATACGCAACGCATTTGCAATTAGCTGAGGATTGTATGAAACGTTATCAGGGAAACGTAGATAAACTCTGTAAAGTAGAACAGGTAGATAATATTTCTATACTATTCCTTAAAACTATAACGCTACTGCACATCAAATTTTATTTAACTTTTGTATATTACATTTACTAGGATTTAGCGATGGGCACTGATGCAGAAGGTGAACGTATCAAGGATCAGATGAAAAACATTACACCAATTTTACTCGATCAAACTGTTCATCACTTGGATAAACTCCGAATTATCGCTTTATATGTTATTAGTAAAAATGGTGTGACTGATGAGAACCTTAATCGTCTAGTTCATCACGCGCAAATATCAGTCGATGATAAGCAGACTATAGTGAACATGGCGAATCTGGGCATCAACATTGTAGTAGATGTAAGTACTACTTTTTTACAATTATATATAATTTTATTCATTCCTCATATAAATTTTCTTCAATATATTGTATAATCTATATGTTGGCCTACAGGGTGGTAACCGTAAAAAATTATATACTGTACCACGCAAAGAAAGAATTACAGAACAAACTTACCAAATGAGCCGCTGGACACCGATTATGAAAGATATCATGGAAGACGCTATTGAAGACAAACTTGATTCTAAACATTTCCCATTTTTGGCAGGTCGTGCTGCTAGTTCGGGGTACCACGCTCCCACCAGGTATAACATTAGATCTTGTCTAGAAGTAAAGTATAATATATCTTATATATGCAATATTATATCATTATGTATTTTCAGTGCGCGGTATGGACACTGGCACAAAGATAAAGGCCAACAAACTATTAAGAATGTACCACGCTTGATCGTTTTCGTTGTCGGTGGAGTTTGCTTCTCTGAAGTACGATGTGCTTATGAAGTTACAAATGCTTTGAAGAACTGGGAAGTGATAATTGGTACGTACATATTTGCAAAAACGCTGCTTATTCACAAATACATTTTAACATCTACCTATTGTTCTGTTTTTTTTAGGTTCGTCGCATATTATTACACCAAAGTCCTTCCTTGATGACCTGAGTAAACTTCACGTTTAAAGACATTTTCGTGTAGACAAAACAAAAACATTCCCATCTTTCCTAATACGTCATTAGCTTTGGCTCCATCAATAATACCAGCTATGAAACTCTCGACTATACAATTGAAAATATTAAATAGGGAACATACAGTCAATTCTGTAGGTCGCGCAGCCATTTAGCGACCACTTAAGAAATTGGAGAATGTCATATCATGGATAGTGATATGTGAACGTTGGTTAGAATGGAAAAAAGTATTAAGTGCCTCCGCGTATAAAAACTTAATAAGAAACGAATAAACATCTTGGCAATACAGGTATAGGTCACACGGAAGTGCTTAATTGTATCTTAGGCTGGCGAATAATCTAGTTCAGATATAATACGTTTGAGGCGAACTGCTCCTTTGTTAATAATAAGGAGCTGATTAGCAATGGAATTTGATGTGTTGTAGAAGAAAATCGTGATATACGTGTAAATTTCTCGTTATTAGTATTTCGTTATCTCCCGCTCCAAAAAAACTATAGACTGTTACATACTTTGTCTTGAAGATTTAATCTTCGATTTCACTCACAGAATTAATAACGCTTATCGAATTCGCATGAAGGGTGTAAGTATCATGTGCATTGTGTGTGCATCAACCACATCGGTTTGAAAATAGAGATACGATGTGAGTAAATACTAGTATTTATTCTTTATTCTATTTAAATATTTTCCTTGTATAATAAAGCCGTAAGTGTACATTAAATTATTTATTGTACGTTTGTTATAGTATTGATTTGTTAACAAACATGTTCACTTAGCGTGCATATATGTTGAATTATAGTGCAAATAAGTCGGTTTCAATTTCCCATTAAAAGCAATGCATTTAACATTCATCAAAAAGATTGTCCGACTTCTAAAGACTTATACACCGATTTAACTAAAAATAATTATCTTCATCGTATTGATAAGTATTTACATGTTGAAACTTCTGCTGCACATAAGAAGCAATCATAAACCGCTAGGGGCCGGTGGAAGTGAATCTGTTAATTATATATAATAATTATTGATGTACGTTAATATTACGATTACTTAGCGGCGAGATTATTACAAAGTTTACGGTATTGATCAATATATAATATATTATATGAACGTATATGTATGTAGATTGTAGACTAAACAAAATGTTCTGCTTATAAAGGCCTACAATTTGCTCCAATTATTGTCTTCTTTTCAACGTACACGTCATACCACATGAAATAATACTTTTATGGATGTCATTTTAAATTCGTATAAATATTGAAATATTGCATACTACTGTTGGAATACGACTGCAAAAGGTTATCATTTATCAGGGTTCAAGAGACAAGGTATGTCTATATAATAAAATTCCAACTTTTCGTTTAAAAGTTAACGCTGTCATTTTTAATCACGATCATCTGACGTCTTTATAATATGTCAAAGCTGGGAAAAAAAATAATTTTAGCTTATAGTGGTGGTTTAGATACATCATGTATACTATTGTGGTTAAAAGAAGAAGGATATCAAGTTATCGCATACGTGGTACAGTTGTTGAAGTACTAATTACTAATCCAAATGTATTTAAAAAGAAACACATAATATCCATCAATTATAATTCAGGCAAACATAGGACAAGAGGAGGATTTCAATGCTGTTAGGGAAAAAGCATTAAAGATCGGTGCTATAAAGGTAAAGAAAAAAATATACTTGCGTTAAAATACGTTATAGGAAATTGTTCTTACAATTTAGAAAAATACAACGATAATGTTTACTTCTTTACTAATTTCCCACATGTCTATTACCATGTAATTACCTGCAAGGTCGTGATAGAGGATCTCAAAGAGGTTTTCTTATCTTCCTTCGCATGGCCAACTGTTGCGTGTGGTTTGATCTACGAGAACAGATATCTCTTAGGAACATCGATCGCTCGGCCATGCATTAGCGAAGGTCTAATTAAGATCGCAAAAACTGAAGGTGCTTCTTTAATAGCTCACGGTGCGACTGGTAAAGGCAACGATCAAGTGCGTTTCGAGTTGAGTTGCTACAGCCTCTGCCCTGAGATCCAGGTATCACATCTTAAAATTATGCTCAATATTCTATAAAAAAATAATAATATGTAAAACAATATTTTTTGTATAATTATCATACAGATAGTTTCACCATGGAGAGAAAAGAAGTTTTACACGAGATTCGCAGGACGGGCGGATTTGTTACAATACGCTCAAGAAAATGGCATTCCTGTTTCAGCGACACCGAAAGAACCATGGAGTACCGATGAAAATTTATTACATGTTAGGTATGGCTAAACTGATACATTAAACTTTCAATCGCGTAATACATGGATTGCAACATTTATACACTTATGATGTATACAAAATATGAAAATTGAACGAATCAAACATTTTACTACCACAGTCTAATAGCGAATGCGTATGGTACTTTTTAAATTTATGACAGAAACTTTATCTTTTCAGTTATGAATCTGGAATTTTAGAAAATCCTGCCACGTCAGCTCCCAAAGGATTATACAAAATGACGACTGATCCACTGAATTCTCCTGCAGAACCGGCGGAAATTGAAATTGGTTTTAAACAAGGATATCCATTGTTCGTGAAAGATTTAAAAAGCCAAAAAATGTATACTACTCCTGTGGAATTACTTCAGTATCTGAATAAAATTGGTGGTCTATATGGAATAGGACGTATAGACATCGTTGAAAATCGTTTCATTGGTTTGAAAGTATGAAAGCTTGAACTTAATTAGAAGAGTGGTGAAATTTAATGATTGCATCACTAATACGTTAATAAGGCGTAATAAATAAATTTAATTAAATTTAATGTAGTCCAGGGGAATTTACGAATCACCCGGCGCTAAAATTCTCTACGAAGCTCACCAGGACTTGGAAATATTCCTGTTAGACCGTGAAGTGTTAAGAGTGAAATCTTATTTGGCCACCAAGATGTCTGATTACGTTTACAACGGTAAAAGAATTTCGCGATACAAAGTTAATTATCCTTTGTCTTTAAATTACACCAGAAATCTTTCTTTAGGCTTGTGGTTCTCTCCGGAATGTGACTTCGTGCGAAATAGTATACTGTACTCTCAAAAATACGTTAATGGAACGGTTCGATTAGGATTGTATAAAGGGAATGGTGCGTATAAATGAAGCAAATGAAACGTAAAACAATTCGTATGAAAATTGAAAAAAAAAAATAATTTTGATCTTGCAGTGTCTATACTCGGTCGACATAGCGAAGTCTTGTTGTATAATAAAACGTTGGTTTCAATGGACGCACAAGGCGGTTTTGAACCTGAGGATGCCGGTGGTTTTATACGGACGCAAGCACACCGGTTGAAAGAATTTTATCGTTTTAAAAATCAGTGTGACTTTTAAGAAGACACTATGACACACGATACTGTAGATCGAAGCCTATATAATGTTCTGTAAATGTAATATCATTATGGACAAAATAAAGGACTTCGAGTAAGATGAAACATACCGAAATGGAATTAATGCTTTGAAACTTTATATGTAAGTTTAATATATTTCTGTTCGATTTAATTTAATTCGGTGTTATCCATTTTTTTCGTGGATTGGTCACAGGCAGGACGTGGTTTTAGTATTAAAAAAACTACCAGCACACTTATTTTCAATTAGTTATTAATAATTAAACCTTAGAATAATTAGTATATTCGTAGATATTATAATAACGTATAATATGCATTGATTTCATCTGCAATAATAGTATACACAATGATCGTTCTTATCGTTTCTAATAGATTCGCAACATAAGAGAAAACGTCAAATATGAGACAATAATGTTTTAGTTAATATCTCTTCTATCAATGACTATGTAACGCTTTCACTCTACTCCACATTTTCTCTATCTATCTCTCATTCATTCATTCACTCTCTTTCGCTCTCTCTCTCTCTCTCTCCCTCTCTCTCTCTCTCCCTCTCTTTCTCTCTCTCT